TATATTAGGCCCTTAAAAGTAGCCCTATTATAGACTGTTACTGTATAAAAAACAATACCCAAGTTTAGGGGCCCTTTGGGTTGGTCCAGGAGTCCCCGATGACGTGCAAGGTTGCATGCACCTTTGAGATGTGGGCGAGTTGAAGGGCGATGTCGGCCGCGTCCTCCGCCCTCCCAAGCTTCACCTGTCTGGTGCTTTGTAGGGAATGGGCTCCTTTTATAAAGGTTCCTATAAGGGTTCTATAAGGGGGTCTTGGGGTATCTTTAGTGGTTCTAAGTAGGGAATGGGGGAATGGATTATGGGGACTGCTGATTACTGGGGGATTAGATAAGGACTACTTAGGGTCCATTCCCCCATTCCCTAGTAAGAGCCAGGGAGTCACCCGGCGCTGTGGGCTCACTCGAATGATCTGCGGAGTTTTCATCTCCGCCCCATGCCTCGGATCTTGTGTTGGTAACTTGGAACAAACTCCCTAATTAAATGAGTTTCATACATGGGTGGTTGTCAATATTAGGGTCCCTTTTTGGGTCCCTAATAATATAATCGGCACCAAAATTTAGGGTACCCAAAAAGGGACCCCAATTTTGACAACCACGCATATGTGACATGGCTTCCTTCTATCAACCCCGATAGCCTACACCCTATTAAGCTGAATCTACTTATTTCCGTTCACAAGAACCCAGTTACCCTAAACCCAGTAACCCTAAACCCAATAACCCTAAACCCTAAACCCAGTAACCCTAAACCCTAAACCCCTAAAGCCCTAAACCCTATAAACCCTAAACCCCTAAACCGTGGCTCGATACACACGTCGGAGCTCGAAGGTGCCGGGCACCGCCCCAGACGCATCGGCCGTCTCCGGCAGCAGCTGAAGCCTGAGATCCTTCGAGCTGCCTAAAGTCTCCATAGCAGTTCCTTTAAAGGGGTTTAGGGTTCCTTTACAGTAGAAGCCAGAAAGTTGGAATATCATTATCCTAACCCCTTTAAGGTAAATCATAGGGGATCCTACCACTAATCCATATTCCATTCTGGAGTTCCCTTTAAAGGGGTTTGGGGTTTAGAATATAGTCTCCATTGTAGTTCCTTTTTTTGGTTGAACCAAGTTTGTATTAAGGATATCCTAAAAGGTAGCCCCAAAAAGGAACTACAATGGAGACCATAGGTGTCCTCAACCCTAAACGGTTCAGGGTTTTGGGGCTCACAGGGTTTATAGGGCTTACAGGCTTATAGGGCTTAGCACTTACAGGGTTTTGGGTTAAATCCCTGAGCCCTGAAATCTTGCATGAACCCTGTATTTCAAAACTCTTGCAAAGCCCCCTGGAAGTCCTGGAAGTGACCCAAGGCACAGCGAACTGGGTAGGTCTGGTTCTGCGCGAAGGGGTTGTAGAGATATCGGTCGGTGAGCAACTCAAAGAGGCCTAGGCTGCGTGGGTTTCAGGGTTTAGGGTTTAGGGCTAGCCTGGTTGGGATTCATGATTCATGGTGTACCTTCACCCCAAATAGCCTACCCTTTTGCAAGGACTCATATCAAGAAATCGTAATAAGCATATCCTTTCAAACCTCTGAAAGCGGCTCGTGGCTACGATCGCCCTAGAGTTTAGAGCCATATTGGGGTTCGTTCCCAAACACTTAGACTCCGATACAAAGAAAGTATAGCCTGTACCACTGACCTGCCTAGAGGCATTTGGCCCCCTGACCTTGGTTTCCGAAGTCAAAGAGCAAGTGGACCACTGCCGGATCCTGTGCGCGAATGATGGAGGCCTCCTTCACCGGCCCCCAGACGGCTGCAAAGTCATACCACAAGGATCCCGCGTGTTGCGGGAAGCTTGTGGCACCCTCTGGCCAACCACGAATCCACTCGCTGGGCAAATCCAGCAAGAAGCCCGACTCGGAGTTAGAGTGCAAGGACACAAGCTCACCTGCGCTGCGAAGTAACCAGGGAGAAAACAGTTTAAAAACTTCTACTTCATAATGGTTCCTTTAAGAAAAAGTAGGGAGAAAAGCTTAAAAACGTCTATTTCATAATAGTTCCTTTAAGATATGAGTATTAAAGTATGGTACTCCGAAGCCCAGTCACTCATCTTCTCCTGATGCTCTACACTGGTGGTGTCTCGGAGAGAGTGGAAATACGCCACCGCCCCGTGGCCCAGATGCCTGGGTTCTTGTTGAGGGATGTACTTTCACTTACCATATCATGGGTTTAGGGTATAGGGTTTAGGGTTTAGGGTATAGGGTTAGGGTTTAGGGTTTAGGGTTTAGGGTTGAGGGTTTACGGGTTTAGATTTTAGGGTTCAGGAAACCATATTCCTTACTGTAGACGGTCCTTATTATGATAAATCGAATTAAATCGCTGAACAAGAACCCAGGTGCTTGCTCCCCTGAAGCTGCCTGCGCTGATGCCATGCAGCACAAAGTTGCGGGTCTCCGGACATCGCCAGGCGGACTTGCTTGTTTCCGCCCTGGGACAGACCGGGAAGGACGTGGATGTTCAGACACGCGACGGCATGGGGTAACTCCGATTGGATGACATGGCTCAGCTCCGCCACGGCGTTCGTGAGGTTGGACATGTCCTTCATTGGGTTAGCCTACCTGAACCCACAAGCCCTACATGTTTGGGATCCTTATTGCGATCTCCTGATTGGTTTTCTTGTAAGGTACGTCTTGCTGTGCTTTTAACCCTCAAAGCCGTAAACCCTAAATAGAGGTACTCTTCCCCGTCAGGTGTCAGGAAGAGCAACTTCCACATCAATCACCAGGGCAGCCAAGATGTATACTCGTCCATCAAGGCATTTGCCCCACCTGTCATACTACCATGGGCTCCATAGTAGTTCCTGCTTGGGGCTCATACTTAGAATCCTTAAAGGGAATCCGAAAAAAGGAACTACTATGGAGCCGCAATGGAGCCTATTATGTGTATACCCTACACCCTAAACCCCGAAGCGTAAAGCCCCCTCAGCTCCAACACACCCGTAATCCACCTAAGAACCCCTAAACTCCCTAAACCCTAAACCCTAAACCTTAAGAACCCCCAAACACAAAAAAAGCCATCTCGGGGGGGCAAAGAGCAAAAGCCACAAGAAACCTTCTGCGTGCCCTGAACCCCCTAAACTTTCTTAGCACATCAAAACACCCCGTACCCCCCCCCCCCCCCAAAAAAAAAAACCTTCAACCCTACGCCCCCTAAGCCCTAAACCCTAAATTCCCTAAACCCTACACCCCACCCCCCCCACAAAAAAACAAAAAAAGCCTAAACTTTGCCCCACCTGTCATTCCAAACCAACGCCTCAGGCTCTGGCTCCCGCCCTGGAACTGGCCTTCTTGTCATGGCTCAGAGTGCATGGCGCTTTGCGTGTCTTGGGAGGGTTCTTTTAGTGTGTAGGGTTTAGGGCTTAGGGTATATTCGGCGGAGGTTTGGGAGTCTTAAGTGGGGCTCTTCTAGGTTGCATGTAAGCCTCTACAGGTTTCAAGAAGCTTATGCGCCTTCCATACTGCCCCCCGAAGGGGCAGACATTGTACTCAGACCCTTGTGTATCAATGCATGGTGCTTTAGGGGGCAGGGTCTTATGGGCATTAGAGCTTCAGGTTCAGGGCACTAAGGCATTGGCTTGGGGTTTAGATTTAGGGTCACTAGGGTCACTGGGGCTATTAGCCTCTAAGTGGAGGTATAACCCCAACATAACCCAGGGTTTACGGTTTACAGCTTACGGAGTTTAGAGTGCAAATTTCGCTGACTTATAGCAGGGTTCTGGGTATGTCCCTTCGTTTTACTGGGCCTTGCAAAGCCTTAACCAACCCCAATAAACCCGAATTATTATGGCTTATAGGCTGTAGGGTTTAGGGTTTCGTGCTTCTTCAAGCACGAAAGACGCGGGGCTCTCAGAAGCTCGATGTCAAGTGCTCCTCACAGCCTCCCTGCGTGGGCCTGGAGCCAAGATTCTTTCATCGCTCACGATAACCCTTTGCGGGTCGAGAGTTCAAGGCATACTACGGCTGATGGTCAAAATCCTGCATTACCTTAAGGACCCTAGACTATGGGAATTATGGTATATTCCGTATCATGGGTAATGCAGGATTTTTATCATCAACAGTAGGGTAGGGTTTGGGTGCGGGGTTTACGGCTTAGGAGTATATTAGGTCCATTAGAACATATTCGGGCTTGCTGAGTGCCCCCTTGAGAAGGAAAGCAATATGCATTCGACCTAATCATAGTCTCCATTGTAGTTCCTTTTTGGGGCTATTATATGATCCTAACCATACAACTGGTTAAACAAAAAACTACAATGGAGACTACATTCTAAACCCTAAATCCCTTTAAAGGAACTCTAAACCGTATTTATAGGAACTACAATGGAGACTATATTCCCTAGACCCCTTTAAAGGAACCCTAAACCCCTTTGTAGGAACTACAATGGAGACTAGAGGTGGAAGCCTCAAACCCTAAACACCTAAATCCTAAACCCCTAAACCCTAAACCCCTAAACGCTTAAACCTCTAGACCCTAAACCCTAAACCCTTAAACCCTAAACCCCTGTACTATTGAGGTCCTGAAATCAAAAAGGCGCCAGTGATCAGCGGGTTCTCTTAGACACTCCATCTACCTATAGTCTCCTTTGTAGTGCCATTCAAGAGGTTTAGGGTTCCTTTAAAGGGGTTTAGGGTTTAGAATATAGTTTCCATTGTAGCTCCTTCTTTTGGTTAACCAAATTTATGGTTTGGATCCTATAATAGAGTTTTTGCTTAACCAAAAAACAGGAACTACAATGGAGACTATAGGTACCCTCTACTCTAGTCGCCACATAGCCCTGTTTGAGAGTACAAGGCCGGGAGAGTTTATGTAGGGTTTCGTGGGGCATTAAGGCACCAGGGCTCGGGGGCCTAGGGTTTATAAGGCCCTAAACCAACCAAAAACCCTTCAAAGTCTTCAAGGAAAGCCTTTTAAACCCGAAGAGCTTATACCCTGAAGAGGGTGAGCACCTTTTGTACCTCTCAAGGCCAGGGGCAACCTTCTCGAGCAGTAGCATCATCTGCCTCGCATCAGCGCGCGTTAATACAGGAGCCTAAATAAATACTACTTAAGATTCCTGTTGATACTTCTGGTCGACTACACCCCACAACCTTATTCTAAATATTAAGGCCCCTATATTGTAGAGCCCTTTTCCATATATATAGAGCCCTGTAACGGAATCTTATTCTAAGTATTAAGGCCCCTAAGTTAAGGGTTCGGGGGCTTAGGCTTCTTAGGGCTTGGGGTTGAAGCCAAAAGTCGAAGGGTCTAGGGCTGAAGGTTAAGGTTTGGGGTTTAAGAGTTTAGGGTTTTAGGGTTTAGGGTGTAGGGGTTTAGGGTTTAGCTGTTTAGGGTTCAGGGGTTTAGGTTTTCGGTTTACAGGTTTAGGGGTTTAGGTGTTCAGAGCTCAGGGTAGAGGGTCATTTTGACTCCGAAAACACATCCTGATGTTCCCCAGAGTTCCAAAGACCCCAAGTATGGGCATTCGCAGGGCTTAAGCAAGACACTGAGTAAAGTTGCCAAGACTGCATGTGAAGTTTTCGGTTCAGCAACTGTCAACCAAGCTTCGCCAGTACTGTACTTGTTCCGCGGATCATGTGTGGATTTCATGTTGACTGTCGAGGTTAGTGTCGTATTGCCGTATTGGTCTAGAAACCCTGAATAGTCGCGCTGAACCATGGTCGATTCGATGGTCGATTCCTGAAACCGGCTTAGGGCCCAGGGTTTCCTACTGGGGTGATTGAGACCGTGACGATGGCAACTTTTGCATTGTCGAGCCTGGCGGACATAGCTGCACTCAGGAATACTAGCCGCACCCCTAAGCCCCTCAACACCATAACCTAGCACCCAAGAAACTAAGCACAAACCCATCTATGAAACTCTAAACATCTAACCCTTCCCCTATGCCCTAAACTACTAAGCCCAGCACACGATTAACATGCTAAACCTGGATTGATCGTGAATTCTTAGCCGATGAAGCCGAATCACGTGATCTGCTCGTCCCGTCGCTTGACCAGCCTCTTGTTGGCCTGAAACTCATAGGGATCCTTAGGGGTGTAGGGGGAGAGGGGGTAGGGGGCCTTAATGCCCATAATAAGGACTAATAAGGCATATTTAAGGAAATATAGTCCCCTACACCCCTCCCCCCTACACCCCTAAGGATCCCTATGAGAAACGTTTGAGGTTCCGCGTGCAGGTTAGGGGTCGCCTGGAGGGATCGTTGAGGGGTTGCTCTACCCAGACCTTCCAAAACCCCTTAATTAAGGAATATACCTTAAGATATAATAGGGTCCCTAATATGATTTAAAGTATATTCCTTAATTAAGGGATGTTGGAAGGTCTGGGTGGTTTGTCCGCAGATCTTCTTGGCGTAAAACGGCTGTTGAATGTTCATTAGGTACTTGGACTAACGGAACTGTTACAGGAATAGTGCAGGACTCTGTCCGTCAGTCGTGGCGAAATGCAAAGTGGCCACGCCTTAAACTCGAAACCCCAAATCAGGCCAAAACCCTTCCGAGCAAATCCTACCTGTATTCCCCTATACTGAACTTAGAACCCTAGCACAAATTATAAGTTTCGCTGTTTCATACGGATTACAATAACCAAAAATGTAAAAACACATCTAAGTACCCCTAAGTCCCAATCAAAACCCTGATGTCGTGGTTTGGGGAGTAGGGTTCAGGATTCAGGTATGTTGAAAGGGGGTTAGGGTGTAAGCGCGCCTCCAACTGCCGTCCATCTTCTGCCAGTCCTGCTGGGACTGTCCCTAGGCCCCTCAACTCTGAAAGACCTTCAAACAGCCAAACAGCCGTGTACTTGAGTTTCAAAAAAGCCTGTCCTGCAAAACTCCATGCAGTCGCTTCAAGCCCTAAACCCTAAACCCCTACAGTAGAAGCCAGAAAGTTGGAATATGATTCTCCTAAACCCTTTATGGTAAATTATAAGGTATCCTACCCTGAAACCATATTCCAACTTTCTGGAGTTCCCCCTAAAGGGGTCCGTGCCAAGTTGGTTTCGGCTTTGGAGTTCGGTGTTTGGGTGGAGGGCCTGCTCGCTCTTCGTTTGGTTTGGGTTTTTGGTTTAGGGTTTATAGGGTCTAGGGTTAGGGGTTTATAGGGTTTATAGGGTTTATAGGGTTTAGAGTTTAGGGTTTAGGGTTTAGGGTTCAACTTCGTGGTTTCGGCTTCGGGGTGTAAGGCGAAGGGACTAAGGGCTTTCCCGTACAATTTGAAGCCAGAGGGTTCGACGCACCTTGGGTATACGTCTGTGTATATAAACATATACACATATGCAGATCTACGCATTTGCATATATGTATAGAAAGCATATGCAAATTCAAGGAGAGGGGACGTTTACACTCATTGTGGCTTCAGGTGTTCTCTTCGAATCTAACGTCCCTTTGGCTAAAGTGGGCTCTCCCCGAAGCCCCCGTCCAGCGAAGTAGTTCCGCTTTGGGCTCTCGCTGCGCGCACGTTGGTTCTGCAAGGCTTCGATGAGCGACTCCATCTTCCGGTCGGCCATCCTGTCGTCAGTTTGGGGTTTGGGGACTATAGGGGTTTAGACTCCATTGTAGTTCCTTTTTTTGGTTTAGCAAATTATATATATATATATATATATATATATATATATATATATTAAGGATCCGGTAACCCCAAAAAAGGAACTACAATGGAGACTATAGATAGGGGTTTAGGGGGGTTTAGGGCTTTGAAGGGGTTTAGGGTTTTAAGGGGTTTAAGTCTTGCTGTTACGGAGGATGATCATGGGTTGTCTTGCTGTTACGGAGGATGATCAGGGTTTTTATGTGGCACTAGAAGGGTATACAACATTGCGGAGGGACGTTGCTAAGTTTCCTTTGGGGCTACAGAGTGTTAATCAAACCACGTGAACGGTGCTAGAATAGGGACTGTTTTCGGGTTCTGAACATGATCCACAAAGGAACCCTGTGTCGGCTCCTGAATGGTGCCCTGGTACTAGTACGTCGTACTGACCAAAGTTCAGGTGCAAATCGTGATACGAAAGTCTCCCAGACCCTGATGCAGCCCTGCATCACATTAGCCTCCACGTCCTACTCTGCCATCCTTCATGAAACATCCCAATGCCGGGTAGCGTGGTGGACGCAAACCCCTGACTTCTCCCAAATTATGGCTATTCTGGTAATATTGTGCCGACCATGTGGGGGTTGTCTCGAGCAGGGTCCCTGTTTAAGTCCCCAAAATACTCAGAACCCCTAATTAAAGCATTGAACATCCTGCATGCAACTCTCAACCCAAAAACCCCGACCCTAGAACCTTGAAGCCCGAGCCTTCCACAATAGAAGCGCAATATATCTTACACAACCGAAAACCCATATATCTTACAGAAATGAAACTTAGTATATCTTACAGAATTGAAACCCACTATAACCTTATAAACCCTAGCCCTAAATCCAAAACCCTTATCTTGCACAACGCTTCAAAATCCCAGCCTCGCATGGTCGGCCAAAGCCTCACTGACCTGCGCCAGGAAGCAAATTTGGGGGGGGGGGGGGGGGCTTAGGCTCGATCTATTTCCCTGAGGGTCCAAAGGACCCAATAAATAGGTACTTAGGTTTCGGATGGTAGTTATGTAGGTTACTATTTTGGAGAGTATATGATAATTAGGTACTTGGACCCATAGGGCTTGGGGCTTAGAGTTTGTGTTTTTGTTTCAGTGGGTTTAGGTTTTAGGGTTTAGCAGTGGCCTTTCTTCGCAGCAGCAGAAGTAGGTCTACCCCATTCAGGGCATGCACTAAAACCTGCCTCCCTCATTGCTAGACCTCTTGGACTTTTCATCTCAATGATATTCTAAATCTTCATCTGGGTTGACAACATCTTGATCTTCAGTATCTTGGTCGCTTGTGTGTTGGTCGCCCGAGTGATTAACTTCTTTAGGGTTTAGGTCTAGGATTTAGCATTTAGGTTTGGCGGACATGCTTGGGACGGTAGGCATTTTGGTTTAAGGTTTAGGATATGAGTCCAGGCGAGGGTTTAGGATTTATATAAGTTTAGGTTTATGGTTTAGGTACTTCTTTTTGGTGGGCTTTTGCGGGTTAGAGTTTGGGGGCTTTGAGTGTAGGGTTCAACCCAAAACCCTAAACCCTAAAGCCCTAAACCCTAAAACTCTAAACCGGTCAGCTATACCAGCAGTGGTTGCTGCTGCTGTGGACTCGTTACTTGCTGCACAACCAACCTCGGAGCCAAGAACGTTGCATAGGGGCTCCTTTAAAGGGGTCTATAAGGGCTACTCTAAGGGATCTATAAGGGTACTATAATATAACAGGGGCACCTACCCCAAGGGTCCAAAGGACCCAATAATTCGGTACTCAGTCTTAGGATAGTAGATATGTAGGTTAGATGTTGGAGCGTGTATGATCATTAGGTACTTGGACCCTTGGGGCTAAATGCAAGCAGAAAATAACATAAAACTAGATGTCACACCCCGAGGTCTGCAAGTCCCGAAAGCTTAAGCTATACGGTATATTGTGTGTTTACATTAAGAGCCGGGGCAGCAGGCCCAGGGGTTGGGGTTTAGGGCATACGGTTTAGATGTAGGGCTTAAGGCTTAAAAAAAAAAAACCTATTTTTCCGCCTGCCGAAGCTGCGAAAGGTCTAAGCGTGGGGTTTAGGGTTTGGGGCTTAGCGGTCTAGGGTGCACGGTTTGCCAGATCCTCAAATCTCGACGCGGCGCAGCATGATTGAACGTCAACAGGGGCATTCTTGAAATCTCCAACTAGCTGGGTTTGGATTCTCTGATATAAACCTACCCCCAACGATGGATGCCCTCTATGCTCCCAATGGCTATTGAAGGGATTCTCATGCCTAGCTGGGTTTGGAATCTCTGATATAAACCTAACCCCAATGATGGATACCCTCTATAATCCCAGTCGCTATTGAACGGCTTCCCATGACAAGACTGGTGCACCTTCAGCTCCAGCGTGGAACTCAGGTTGGTGAACTCTTGTGCGAAGTGGGCAGTCAGCTGTGAGCTGACCTGAGGACAAGCAGGGCTTTCGGAATTGGGATTTAGGATGTAGGGAATGGGCCCCTCAACTGTAAATAAACCCTGAACCCTTAACCACTGAACCTGAGGGTCCATGTACCCAAGTTTTCGAACAGTACATATGTTTTGGCCCCCAAGTAACTTTATAAGACCTACATGGCTCGCGTGCCATTGCCGCCGGTGGTACGGAGGCACTTCCAAGAATGTTCTGCAGGGGTGATGGATTCGTAGGTCAGGGATTTCGAGGGCTACCCAGACCTTCCAAAATCCCTTAATTAAGGAGAATACCTTCAACTATAATAGGGTCCCTAATATGATTTAATGTATATTCCTTTATTAAGGGATTTTTGGAAGGTCTGGCTAGAACAGGGCTGCTGAGAACTCGGAAGTAGTTTTTGCCACTGCGCTGTCCCAATCCAGTGTGTCTTCGAAGCCTTTGGCGCGAAGTGAATGAGTCCCTGCATTGACTGGGCCCTGTCGAGAAGCCGCCAAGACGACGTTCATTATGTATACACGCATACGTAGAGTTAAGGCAACGACACTATGACTCAGAACATAGCTTGCAACTTGCAACATAAAAAAAAATCTAGCCAAGATTTTAAAACGTCATTCCGAGCAGCAGGTCAAAACTGAAACGCTACTGGGCCATTTATGATTAGGGAAGGACTATGTGATAAGCAGGACAAGTTAGGAAGAACATCGAGGGCAACATAAAACAAGACTCAGTACACGTGAGGCAAGTCATCCAATCTACTCGCGGAACTCCAGGATACTTGGGAGTTTCCGGAAATAGGGGACCCTAACTTAGTACCCCTAAATAGTGGATCCTTATTATAAGGAATCCAAAATAAGGTACCCCTAATTTTCGGAAACTCCCACTTCAGGAGGGCAGGGCTTTCGAGAGTGATAACGTTATCTATTGGGTTTAGCCTCGGAGTGGGCTCTTGTGCAGGGCTTCAGCTACTTGTCTGGTATCATGGGGAACTAAAGCCGCTCCTGTTTGGTTTCAGTGTGACTTCCTTGTAAGTCTTTACATATAGGTATTTGCAAACAGGTAGACTTTGGTGATTACGATCTTTGCAGGTACCGGGCGCAATAATAAAACATGGCATGAATACAGACAAGAATGAGGGCATAAATGTATTACAGCACTGGAAAAGCCACGTACGGACAGTAGCCGCGATGACAGTGGAAAGAAGTACAATGCAAGTCGCACCGAAAACGTAATCCATGTCTCCCATAGTCCTGAAACCGTAAAGCCTTGAAGTCCCACAAACCCTGAACCGCAAGCAACAATGAAGCGCTAGAAACCCAAAGCTTCCGGATAGCCTGACAAATCTCAAGCAACTCTACACCCCCCCTATAGTCTCCATTGCAGTTACTTTAAAGGGGTTTAGGGTTCCTTTAAAGGGGCTTAGGGTTTAGAATCTAGTCTCCATTGTAGTTCCTTTTTTGGTTTAACCAACTTTATGTTAAGGATCCTAAAAGGTAACCCCAAAAAGGAATTACAATGGAGACTATAGGTAAACCCTAAAGAGCGAAACCGCTAAAGTTCAGAAACCCGAATTCCCCTCCATCTCCTCTGCCGAGTTGCAGCCATCAGGCCTTCTCTGCACAACTCCACCGCCTCAACCAGACGGCCCAATACCGCAAATTTCAGGAATATTCCCTAGCTTAAAAAGTTAAAATTCAGATTTTACTCCAACCTAACTGATAATTTCAACTAGCAGTTTACGGTATGCTCCAAACGAGAAGAAAATCCTTACATGAACGAACTTTCCGTCCCGCGTGTTTAAGGTATATCCCACTCCACACCCTCTAAAGCATCAACAAATTGAACACCGCAAAATGTATCCATCTTGTGGCTGCAGATGGGCCTCGTTCTAAGGGTGTTGTTCGATCCTCTCGGTCTGGGTTAAGTGGAACCAAGCCGTATTGAGCTGAGGGTCTAGGTTTTTGTAGTCAAGAGTTGAACACGTGGCCCCATGCAGACCTTCTGTTTAAACCTAGTTGAAGGCAGTTATTCAGCCAACCCTGCATCCAGAACGATGTAAGCCCCGTATACTAAACTAAACGCTCAGCTCAAACCCTTGCACCCCAAGAGATATAAGTCCAATACGCTGCTTTTTTCCAGGAAGTTCCGCAGATGTAAAGACAGTGCTTGAAGTTCAGTCCCGAAATGACAGCAAGTGCAAACTGATGTGGCTTCGCTGTCACTGCTGGTGCCTACCCATAGTCTTCATTGTAATTAGTTCCGTTTTTGGCTTAACCAACCTATAGTCTCCATTGTGGTTCCTTTTTGGGTTTACCTTTTAGAATCCTTAATATAGAATTGGTTTAACCAAACAAAGGAAATACAATGGAGACTATAGGAAGTATATAAGACTACAGTAAATAGTAAACCCCAGAAAGTTAGAAACCGGATTAAGGCCAAATAGTGCTGGGATTCCTTATACATTACTCTTGAGGATTGAAGCTATTGGGTTTCCAACTTTTGAGGCTTCTACTGTATAGGCCAGGCATACCTGAAAGGCAACGGCATATGTGAGGCTCGAAGCTTCTGGGGCTTCTACTGCAAGGTCTAGGGTTAGGGCTTAGGGGCCTTAATAGTTAGAATAGGGTTCCTTTAAAGGCTTCTATTTGGGAATAATAGGGTTTTATGTGAGGGGCCTTGGTCTTTAGAATAGGATCGGCAAACTTTAGGTTCAGGTTTCAGGTCAAGCGGTTAGGACCGCTTCGGGGTTTACAAATGTGGCTCATGAGCTCTGCGCCGGATGCCTTTGGCTCGACGAGGAATGTCAGGAGAATGCAACTCGTGCGTCAAGCATCCTGGTCGCTCAAAATTCCGCAAAAAGAAGTTGGCACCCATAGGCTCCATAGTAGTTCCTTTTTGGGATAGGATTCGAAATGTGAACCCCAAAAGGAACTACTATGGAGCCTCTAGGCATGCACCAGATTTTCCTTGACGGGCTGGTGGCGACGTTCGTTGGTGTTACTTCTGCGTAACGAGCGGCTCGCAGATTGCCGCCAGGCACCGCCACCTTTGAAGACGCCGGCCAGCGAAAGCACGTTCACTATGGTCATTATATGGGTGGTTGTCGAAATTATGGTCCATTTTTGGGTACGCTAAATATTCGGTGCCGTATTTAACAACGACCCAAAAAAGGACCCTGATATAGACAACCACCCATATGAGTAAATCGACAACCGGCAACCTTGAACCAAAACCTACTCCCTGAACCTAAAACATTGCCGAATCCCATCAGCCCCTCAACCCCCTAAACGTCCATAAACCAAAATCCTTGCACCCGAAACCCATAAGCTTAAAACAAAAACCTTCTTTCGAAGCCACGCACCTCGGCCTGGGCTGCGACCTTCCCGCGGCAGAAAGCCTCAAACAAGGGCACATGAGTATTGAGGGACAACTGGGAGTTTCTGAAATTAGGGGACCCTAGTACAGTACCCTAAATAGTAGGATCCTTATTAGGTACCCCTAATTTTCGGAAACTTCCAAATGATGGATAGATGCAGGGTCTACGCCAGGGTTCGGAGTGTAGAAGCTTATGCAGGTCTACTCATTGAAGGTGTTTGCGGCGGGAAATTGTCTTTCGGGTTGGGCTTGCTTGAGGGCGTTAACTTTCAGCGATTTCGTTGTGACCTCCAAGCAAACCCAAACCCTAAAACCTAAACACTACCTAGACCCCCCAACTACCCCGTAATATACCCCAAGTACCCACTATTAAGGGCCACAAGGGCTCCATTAAAGGGCCATTGGGCGGTCCTGGTAAACCCAGCTGGTTTAGGGTTTAGGGCTCGCGGTTTCCTGGAGCCCTGAAGGTTCCTCCTGGCAATGGTCGTTGAGCCTTTGGGTGCTTGTCAAAATGATGGTCCCTTTTTGGGTACCCTAAATATTTGGTGCCGTACTATCATAGGGACCCAAAAAGGGACCATAATTTTGCAACTACCCATATACTGGAGGGTAGTTGGTGGGTCAAGGTAAACTCGGAGACTTTGACTACACAACTTTGCTTCGATAAACAGCACCTTGGCGGCACTTATGTTAGAGCGCGTACATATATAGCCCTTGATTGAGGCATCCGCCTTAAATCATACTATTAGGTCCCTACTCTTTGAGGTATAGCTCTTATTAGTTAACTAATTAATTAATTAGTTAATTAAATAATTAAGAGGTAGTGGTTCAGTGGTTCAGTGGTTCTGAAAGTAATTGTTCGAGCACCTGAGTCGAGAGTCTTCCAACGAAGACGAAAACGAACAGAAGGGAAGGACAACTTTGGTGTACAGTCTGAAGCAAAGTTGACAGTTCGTAGCCTAATGTAACCTAGACCTTTAATATCCCTCGAGAACCATACGTTCACAACCATCTCATGACTGCATATGTGTGTCTGCATTTGCAGACACATACATATATATATATATATATAATACACGTGTGTGTGTAGATGTAGATGTAGATGTAGATGTAGATGTAGATGTAGATGTAGATGTAGATGTAGATGTAGATGTATATATATATATATATATATACACATACATATATATATATACATATACATATATATATATATATATATACAAATATTAGATATTCTATATGTGTGTGTATACATATATAAGCTCTACAGGATGATTAGGTGAACGAAACCCGCCTGCACGTTAGCGCTGCGGGGTCGCGGAGATGCCTGGTACAGGATTTCAGAGTAGCAGACCTGGGTGAATGAATTATGCATTCATCTTAGTTATGCAACAAGATCAGCTAGAGGCGCTTGGCCTCTTCGCCGTTGTAGTAGATGTACTGGTGGCGGTTATGCTGGTGGTGGTGCTGCTGCCGCTGCTGCTGGTACTGGCAGTTATATAGTAGCAGTTGGAGGAGGAGGGGGAGTGGTAGTAGCGGTAGAAGTGGTACTACAGTGGTGGTTTGAGCGGTAGTGGCAGTGGTAGTGGAAGCGATAGCGGTCGTGGTGGTCGCGGTGGTATGTTGGTAGTAGTACTGATGATAAGAATAACACTGTAAGTCCATGGAACACATGTATGTGGTAGGTAGTAGTGTACCAAAACGGCCGGCGGGCCCCCGTCACCCTAGAGGTATGAATGCTTGTCTTTACACCGTCCTGGGAATTCGCTGCGACCGCCGAAGATGGCCGCGTGACGCCTGAGGACACACTGGGCTGAAGGGATCTGGCACGTATGCTATAGGGGCCTTAATAATTAGAATGTGTTTTGGGGAACCCCCAAAATAGTATTGGTAATTCTTCAGGCCCTACTATAGCTGAACATAATGAGGGTACCCTTTCTCAAAAAATGCTGTTTTAATAAGGAGAACCCCAAAACAAAAGGGCAAAAGGGTACCACTCAGGAACTGTTTAAGGTTACGGTCGCCATCGCGCCAGACATGACTTGGACTGCGATACCAAGCATGCCCCTTTCGGCTACAGTTGCTCTTGAACGAGAGCCATCATGATTCATCGCATCTTCAGCCTTGCACTACCAATATCTGCAAATGGCCCTAAGGCTTATAGGCCCTGAACCCTGACTCAGACAGCTGAGCCCTATAGAATATTATATAAACACGCGCAACCCAAAACCCGAAACCATCAAACCTCTAAATCCCTAACCCCAATCTTTCAGGAAGAAACGGATACTGAAGACTCCTGATAAACCCTCGGCGATCCTGCAGTGGCAGGGCGCTTGCGGACTGCAGAGGCCGGGCGCGACATGGCGATCAAAGTGCCGTAGTTGAGTTTCAGGTCTGGCGGTTTAGGCTTTAGGCTTGCGGGGTTTAGGTTTATAGGGTTTAGGCTGCAGTGCGTATTAAGTGCGCGCATGCGTATCTTGGGGTTAGGGTTACAACCCCTACAGCCGGCTGCAGAAATTAACCAAAACACAGATTCCTATGCGAAAACAGCTTGAAATATGGGCTAGCGTTTAGGATTTAGGAGACACCTTTAAAGGGTTCTGCATAAAACTCTGCGAGACCGCTGTAGCCAACAGAAACTTCCAAAAGCTGTCGGTTACGACCCCTGACTGATACCTGTAGTCTCCATTGTAGTTCCTTTTTGGGGTTACCTTCTAGGATCCTTAATATATAGTTGGTTAAGCCAAAAAAAGGACTACAATGGAGACTACAGGTAGGATATACGCAGTAGCTACTCGGAGCCGCAGCTTTACTTTTGGTACGTAAATGATGTTGTAATTCATCATATGTCCCTAACCCTATAAACCCTAAACCTTAACCGTATAAACTAAAAGGCCGACCGGGCCGTGAACTTTGCCACAGGACTGCCTTTGGCCCTGTGGGCAAAAAGCTGCGGGGAAGTCTGCTTAACCTTACTTGTCGGGAACTCAAGGTTAACCTTTCTGGTTATAAAGACATTATATAGGGACTATACTACCAAAAAAAGGTTAATTAAAGGTACCTACTCTACTACTAGGTTAAGGCATCCGTGGCCTTCAGGGCCTTACCTGCAGCAGCTACCGAAAGCCGCACTTTGTGCCGGTTCTGATTCGAAACCCGAAATCCAGAATTTCTGCGGGCCCACAAAAAAATGAGGTTTTAGTAGCTTTGGGTAGGGTTTCGCAAAAAAGCCGCCGGCCCGGCTCCCTTTCTTCCAAAAAGCCTTGCCTGTGGATCCAAGTACCTAGAGGCTCCATAGTAGTTCCTTTTTGGGGTTCACACATTGAGAACCCTATAAGCTAATCCCAAAAAGGAACTACTACGGAGCCTATGGGTGTACCTGCTGTGTTCTAAAGTTTAGTTTAGGGCTTTGGGTTTGAAGGGTAGAGGAGGCCCTAGCATCAAGTTGCCATGACCCACTTTGCAGGGACCCATGTGATGGGAGGCCAAAAGGGGGGTTTAAGATTCTTGGAGTAGGGATTCCTCAATATGAACCCTATTATGGGAACCCTAATCCCTACTGAACCCCCATAGGCTAAAACCCCTTTTGGCCTCCTATGACATAACTCCAAATTGAACCGAGGTCTGGCGGCTTCGGGTGCAAAGCGGGACAAGATTTACAAATTTAACTGAGCTGAGGGTTTATAGAAGGGTTCAGGGCTGCGGCCTACTTAGAGTTGAGGGTATTAGGGTGTTTAGAGGATTACAACCAGGACCCCCCAATGGCCCTTTAATGGAGCCCTTATGGCCCTTAATAGTGGGTATTTGGGAGATCTTGGAGGGTAGTTGGGGGGTCTGGGTAAGGTGTTTAGGGCATTACAAGTTTAGAGTCTTCAGGATTGTGAATTGAGCGCAGGAAACATCACTGGAACAAGGCCTGGCCTTTCTCAATGGTTTTGAAAACAACAGCGCGAAGCTTGTTCCAAATTTGCTGTCTCCTGACGAAAAAAAACTCCGATTCCCCAAACAGTCGTAGGTACTATTATCGGGGATACTTCCCCAAACCATAATATTAGTTACTAGTCTAGAAATCCCAGATTCTTCTACTATATGGGTAGTTACTTTAGACCCTTTTGATTCTGCAACCTTGACACAATTGGGTCCATTCCTGAGAGAACCAAAGGTTAACTACTCACGACTACTGAGGTTCCTACGTTTTTCACGTGTGGGCCCAAAGCCGAGAACGCTAAACCCTAAAGCCCAAAACCATTCCAGAACACCAAAACCAAACCCCGTAGAGTATCCGTATCCATGTTCAGCTGGAAATCACTGTAAAGACTCTCGACACAACCCGCACAACTGTTACATATAGAGCCCTAGCGAGCCGTGAACAACCATAGATCCAAAACCCCTCTACTGCCTCTACTTACAGACTACACGCCCTGACCTGAACTTTACAGTCCTAGTTATAAAACCCTTAGCCCTGAACGCTAGGAGACCCCATTACAAGCACCCCCTGCGGCCCCAACAGCGACCTTAGACATCACTTGCAAAGGCCTCTCGCAGATTCCATGTGGCTACCTGGGTTTTGTCCGAGGTGTAGGGTTTAAGGTTTCCAAGGACTAGTATGGCTCTTGAGGGCTTTACAGGGCATGTAAAGTTATCACAGCGGCGGTTGTCCATGTGTTTCATCGGGTGTTAAGGCTTCATGACAGGGAGCTTAAGGCTGTAGGGCTTGGATGTTTCAAGCTTGGGGGCTTTAGGCTTTCGGAGATGGGACTTTAGGATTCTAAGTCAGTTAAGGGGTTTAGGGACTAGCCGTGGCTTTAAGGGTATGGGGCTGGTGCTGCTTAGGGTTCGTTCTATTCCCACGTCGCAGTGCCTCAAAGCCTGTTTGAAGGCTCCACTGGGTATACTGTAGCCAGCTACAGTTTCCTTACTTGGAAGAATTCTTGCAGGTACACAGCACGCTTCAAGCCTGCTTGGTCTTAAACCTGCTTGACATGACTGCGAAAAGAGCCCTCTCCCATGACCCCAAACCCAAGTTGATGCGAGGCCCTCTTAGGCCTGCCTGAAGCCTCCTGAGTACTCCACATGTGAACGTGAGAAGCACTTCCTCGACGGTTGTTATCTGCTTATGAAAGAGATCCTCAAGGAGGGGAGCACAAGGAGGGTATATAACCCCATAATACCTTTTTCTTCCTAGTGCTGAGCCACCCTCCCTCAAGGATCCTATGATCTGCGTTCGGTCCTCTGTTTAGATCCCCAAAACAGCACGGCGCCATCCTACTGAGGATCCTAGAAAGGGCCCTAATCCAGAGAACCTGATCTGCACCCATGACGGACTACGTAGGGTTTCTCAAGGTTTGAAGGTTGAAGGCTTAGGCTTTTGGGAGTTTGGGTTTAAGATTTACTGTGTAGGGGTCTTGCCTTCATGACAGAGGTCATCTTGCATGCAGTGCCCTGATAGGACACATTATCCCTATCTAAGGAACCATGTATAGAATCTTTCAATCTTGTATAGAACCCACGGCAGTCAGGGCACAACACGCTGCTCTGCGGCGGTGGAGCGTTCCAGCTCCTGCAAGGGACGCAGCATCGAAGCGCTGTCGGGTTTAGCCTGCAGAGTTTAAGGTTTCAGGGCTCGGACTTATTTTTTAAAACTGTGTTTTTTTGAGGGGAGGTGGTTGGGGTTCAGGGCTTTGGGTTTTGGTCCCTGGATAGCAGGTTTCGGGTCCTCAAAGATGTAAACTTAAATCCCTAAACACCACACGCTATACCCAAACCTCGGCGCCGTGTAAGATGCCTGCAAGGAATCTTGCACGGCACCATATGTATACATATATATATACATATATATATATATATATATAGATGCCCTCACTCCTAAACCTCTAAGTCCCAAACTCTGCCCAGGCGTCCTGCTTGATCTGTTCCTGCAGCTCCAGCAGCAAGGAGAAAAGCTGTCGCCGCGCATAGGCACCCGCCGGAGTCTCACAGGACTTTTACTTTTCGATGTGAGTCTATCTATCTCTATCTCTACATCTATCTCTATATCAATATATATATATATATAATATCTATATACACACGCACACATAGTTGCTTGTTTCTGGAACTTCCGGCATAAGGGGTCCCTGACTGGGGTATTTGGCTTCTAGGGTTCGTCCTAAGCAATGTACTGTTCAGGCTTCGCTTGGAGTTTGGCATTTTTAGCGGGGAGCTGGTTCGTAGCAGCATTTTGAGTGCATTGCCCGTACCAACGGTACCACCAATCCAACTATTCAGTTCTTACAAGGCAACCATCGACTGCAAGGGTGATACATGGGCAGTCGTCAAAGTTATGGCCCCTGTTTGGGTACCTTAGATATTAGGTGCCGCATGAAAATAAGGACCCAAAAAAGGACCATAAGTTTGACAACCACCCATATATACATATATAGAGAGAGCGAGAGAGAGAGAGAGAGAGAGAGAGAGAGAGAGAGAGAGAGAGAGAGAGAGAGAGAGAGAGAGAGAGAGAGAGAGAGAGAGAGAGAGAGAGAGAGAGAGAGAGAGAGACAGAGAGCTAGGGGACCCTCATATAGTACCCTAGATAGTAGGATCCTTACTGTATTATAAGGACCCCAAAATAAGGTACCCCTAATTTTCGGAAACTCCCAAATGACCCTTCAAGCGTTGAGTATAGGATTTTTGTGATACTGCTCTAAAGGCTCCCTTGAAACACAGCCTAGACCCTGAACCCGGGGCGCACCAACCCCTTAGACATCCCAAGACCCCGAAACCTTAGGCCCAAATGGCCCTAAACCTAAAGCCATGTAACTTAGAAGCTGCCTCCACCCTGTAATAGTGACCATAAGGACTATATAGGATTATATTAGGGCCCTATTATATTCCTATTATACCACTACTACAGGGTGGGGGCAGCTTCTAACATATAACCCGAAGCCGTGAACCCTCAAGACCTGAACCTTTAAGCCGGGGATTGTGAAACCATCGATATACCCTGACACCCCCATCCCCATGTACAGCTAGGAGACACCGCCCATCAAGTCGAGAAGCTCGCAAGCCCAAACCTTCACCTTTCGGGTTTAGGGTTAATTGGGTCTGGTGTTGACTTTCCAAAGGGAAATCAAAATAACACAAAGCCTAAACCCTAAACCCTAAAATAACACAAGTCCCCCAGAATGGGTTTATCCCTCTGAACACAAACGCTCATTGACTTCTAAACCCTGAATGTACTCTGCATCCTGATCCCATCAAGATAACCCTGAACCCTAAACCCTTACAGGGAACTCCAGAAAGTTGGAATATGGTTTCATGGTAGGATACCCTATAATTTACCATGGCAGGGTTAGGATAATCATATTCCAACTTTCTGGCCTCTACTATAGTAAACCCTGCATGTACCTTGCACTCTCAACCCTTCACCCAGTACCCCAAATTCAAACATTGTGCGCCTCACTCTCCTCCGTCTGGATCTCCTGCCAAAGATGGCTTCGGGCTTTTAGCTGAACGACTCTTGAACTCTTGAAGTGTTGTTTTTACATCGCCGGCCCCCAATTTTAGGACCTCTTTGTATGGCGCTGTAGAGGCTGCTGGCTTGGACACTCTGCTTGAAGAGATCATGTGAAACACTCATGCCCAACTCCTATACAACCCTCAGGCTCGAAGTCCCTTCAAAACCCAGACCCTTAACCCCGAAGCCTTTAGAAGCCTTAAATCCTGTACCCTGAATCCTAAATCCCAGACCGTGCTCCGAGACAGTGCCTCAACCCTGAAGCCCAAGACTCTAAACTATACTGAACTTAGAACCCTAGCACAAATTTTAATTTTAACTGTTTCTTAGGCATTATAATAACCAAAATTTAAAAACAAAATTCTAAGTACCCCTAAGAAACCTTAGCCCAATATTATAGGGTCCCTAATATGATTTATGGTATATTCCTTAATTAAGGGATTTTGGAAGGTCTGGGTACCTTACTACCCCCAAAATCCGCTGAAATAAAAGGTTAAACTTTCCGATTCCTACTAAACTTAGAGGGTTTTTGTACAAACCCTCTACCCCAATCAGCCACGGAAATAAAATGTTAAAACTTTCCGATTCCTACTAAACTACAAGAGCCCGAACAGCTTCCAGCTTGGGTATTGGAGATCTAAGCTACTTACGACTGACGATTTCGCTGAGCGTGCTGTGTTTCAGGTTCTCTGGTTGGGTCCCAGGTCTCATATGGGAGTTTCCGAAATTAGGGGTACCTTATTTTGGGGGGTCCTGATAACAGGGATCCTACTAAGGTACTATATTAGGGTCCCCTATTTTGGGAAACCCCCATATGTAGCGGGGTTGAGGCTATGGAGTTTACGGTTCGCATTTTTTTGGGGGGTCGCGGTTGCACCCAAAGGCCAAAGCCCAAGCCCACAAAATCTAAACCCCAAGACCATGAAACGCTATACTGCACCCTGAAACCCTTTGCCCCTGCACAAATCCCAAGTCAATTGTATTAGCAGCCTTGAACAGAATTTTTGTCAGCTGCAGCCTTCTTTGGTGCTGCAAGCTCTGGAGCAATTGAAACGAAGGTATCCGCACGCTAGGTTTTTGAGGTTTCAAAGGACATTACGGGTTTTACGTCTTCAAGGCTTGTGTAGGGCGCAAGGGATGTTTAATCACGAGTCTATACTAGATGCGCCAGTGGCCCGAAGAACTCGAGTCCTTTGTCCCACTCTTCAGTCGTACTTAAAGGGAGCCTCAAACAGACATCGGGTCTAGGGCTTCTAGTTCATTGTTGGGATAGGATTAAAAATGTACATGTTTATTCCTTATTGGGTTTAAGTACCCTTAAAAATGTAAAATGTTACCCAACAATGACAAAGGCTTCAGGGTTCAAGAGCTAGGGTGGCTGGGCCTAGAGAAGCCGCAGCAATCGAGATGCCAACCGTCCTCTGGGATTGCACTTTGAAGTACCGAACAAGACGCAGGCAACGACACAAGGTGTGGGGTAGGTTCTAGGCCTCAGGACTGTAGGCTGATACCCTAGAGATCAAAATAGCCCAAAAGCCTTGTATAGTATGGTCGTTGGACCCAAAAGCCTTAATATATGAGTCCTTAGATCCCTAGGGATAGGTTCTTGGGTTCTGGCCGAGTTTGGGCAACAAAAGCCGGCCTGGCTTGAAACCCAGAGCTGCTGAACACACTGATGTCATACATCCAGCCTGATACCTTTCTGCGGGGGTTCGTGCTCGAAGTATAGCAGGGAAACTTAAGGAATAAGATGCTTAAGTCAAAGTATCTAGGCCCCCCGGCTCTGAGCTATGCAACTGCTGAAAAATCTACCAGGCTTCGTGGTAGTAGTGGGGCCCTTTGGGTCGTTACGTTGGGGGACCAAGCATACGATGATGGACAAGGACCTGCCCAGACCTTCCAAAATCCCTTAAGGAATATACCTTAAAATATAATAGGGTCCCTAATATGATTTAAGGTATATTCCTTAATTAAGGGATTTTGGAAGGTCTGGGTGCATTATGCATAGTAAGAAGTATGGGTTTGCGGTGCTGAAGTTGCCCTAAACCCTAAACCCTAAACCCTCTGTCAATCCCACCAACCCTTGCGGCCCTAAGGCGCCACGTCCCCATATTGTGCATACTTATAGGACTTTAGGGTTTAGGGGTTTGGGGTTTACGTAGGGGTTTCGTCCATACAGAAGCTGCGTTGAAGGCAAAGTGTGTATATGTACATACATACATTCATTCTTTCATAGATACATACGTGCAAAAATACATATATACACATACGATGTAAGTACATGGAGCTTTAGGGAAAGGGTTCTCAGAGGAAATGCTCATTGGCAACTGCTTCACTGTCTCGAACTTTGCGGACAGATCCATCGTACCTGGGCTTGATGGTTCAGGGTTAGGGGTTTAGGGCTTAGGGCTTAAGGTTGGGGGAGAGTCGAGGGTGTAAGGGTTTCGGTTTAGGTTTACGGTTTCGGGGTTGCACCTCCTCATACTCCGAAGAGCCACGTTTCAGGGTTGGGTTGAGGGCTTAGGGTTCTCCTCTCAGCGCCTCCTACAACAACCAACGGTAACACCTCAAGTGCTAAGCCCCAAACCATCCTAAACAGTCCTAAACCCCACCAGGACCCCCCTCCCCCACCAGGACCCTCCTTGCCCCCCTCAAATCAAACAGAAACACATGGCCTCTGCTGGTAGGTATTTGCTGCTAACAGACGGTAACTGGAATGTCTAGGCAACCCCTTAAAGCCCGCAACGCAACAAACAAAAAAGACCGACCCTAGACTACTCAACCCGCCATGTCAGGGCCTTTCCGCTCAAACCCTACCGAGTTGACATGTCCGGGGCTTCGCCTCAGATGGAACCCTCTGCCTACGTAGTGGGGTTGCTGCTTTTCAGAGCCTTGGCAAACTTGATCTTAGGGTTTAGGGGCTCACCCAAAGGCTCCTACGTGCCATTATGCATTATGGGGGATACTTCCCCAAATCATAAGAGCAATTACTATTCTAGAAACCCTACATTCTACTATAGATCGAAATACTTTGGACCCTTTGGGTTAGGGGTTAGGAAGCCAAAAAGCACCTAAACTTTTGCGTTTGCGGCAATATTCCGCACCCCCCAAAAAATGGATAGGTTTCGATGGTTACATAGAAATGATTGGGCAGGGGATGCATCTGTTTGGGGATTCTTCTTGGAGGCTCAGCCTATTTACTAAGTCCCTTGGGCAAGTTTCCGGGGAGATCGTCTCTTCTGTTCTGCCTGGTCACCAGCGAGCGGCCCGCAGCAACACAGCACAGAAGGGATGCAACGTCCTTCAGGGGGCAGCTCGATACCGAGTTGGGTGACAGGGGGAGTTTTGGGGAAGTTTAGGGGATTTAGGGGGCTGAGGGTAAACAACGGTTTTAGGGGCTCTCATGTGGATAAGCCAGGGGCTATCTACTGGTCCCCCTCCCTCGACGAGGACGAAGCGGACTAACGGATTCTGTACGTCAGGGATGCCTGTTATGTGATTTGGCGCTTGCCGTTGTTCTTACCGTTGTGAGTATGACTCTGAACCTTATTGCTATACTAGCCTGTATAAAACATGCCTAGGGCACCTAATCATTGCGTGTTCACGTGTTCGTGTCTGCTACGGAAAGCAGGTAGGACCAGGTAGGAATGAATCATCAGACCATGAAGCCCCGCCTCTAAACCCGAACCTGCACCTACTCTGAACCATCTACTCATCTCATGAAGCAACACCGAGCCGACCACTAGGTCTACGCCGCGTGGACCACAATTTTACGTCACAAAATCCCCAAAATCCTGTACCAATTCTAAACCCAACCACTAGGGTTTCCAAACACCAAAACTCACACAAAGACTTCACGATCTTGAAGTACAGGGTTTCTGGATATGCCCGCCTAAACCAAAACCCTAAGCCCTAAACCGACCTTGCGGTGGGGGTCATTAGGTCAATGATTACGCCTCGATTGGCAGCACCTTTGGTACTTAGCTGCTTTGTGGACCCCTACCTACCCAAGCCCGTAAGATAGGGGCCTTAATGACCAGAATCGGCTTTGTACGTATTGCAGCATAACCATAGGGGATCTAGCGGCTTGTTGTTTAAACCTCAGCCGTTAAAGTCAACAAGTTGGAACATCATTGTCCCCGTGCCCTGAAGGTAAAGCTTTGGGAAACCCAGCAAAATACCCCTAAAGCATGTTCCAACTTTCTGATAGTTCATTGTAAGCATGAACCCTGCACCCCTAAACCCGAAACGTCCAATGCCCTAAGCTTTTTCCAAACCACGATAACCCTAAGGGTCCACGTACTCATATAGTATATATACATTGGCCTTATTGTAGTCCCTATATAGGTACTTTGGGGCCCATGTATCTCTACACCGGTACATGGACCCTTAGGATCACACAACCCCAAAGCTCTGAAGCCCCCAAAAACCTACGTGCCTTGATTAGGGTTCAAGAGTTCTTGGTGTCAGCTTTGAAAGAGAACAAGTGGGCTCCAGTTACCGAAACAATAGATTACTTGGGTACATAATAGCTGGTATTTGGGTCTGGAGCCCTACCTGAAGCCCAACTAACAACCCTGTTTAGGGTTGATTAAGGTTTCTTTATGTAGGTCCTGAAAAAAGGCAGCTCCTTTAGGGAACTGGAGCCTTACAGTATAGGGAAGCACCCGACAGCCGGATGAAAAAACGCGCCTGTCGCAGTTCCCGGAGAAGAGGAGCGCTGCTGCGGCGAAGACCTCTTCCACGCGGAAGCCCGACCTTCACACCCAGAGGCTCCAAGTATCATGATGGTACCTATAGAGGTTAGGATCTGTTAAACTGTTATATAGAAAACTAGATACCCTAAAAAAGTGGTAGGGTATGAGCCTACAGGTATCATTATGGTACCCTACGGGTCCATGTACCTGAATAGTATATACATTGGCCTTATAGTAGTCCCTATATATAGGTACATTGGGGCCAATGTATATACTGTTCGGGTACATGGACGCTTAGGGGTATGTATTTAGACCCTCAAAATACCCTATAAGTCTATACTATAACGATACTCGGACCATTTGGCACAGCGGAGAGGCCCGAAAGGTCCAAAGGAATGAGAAAAAAGGGGTTCTACAATCAGGCTAAAGGGCTCTACCCATGGAGCTTAGGGTTTAGGGTAGGGTTGGGGGGGGTCTGTACCCATAGGCTCCAGAGTAGTTCCTTTGTGGGATTACCTTATAGGATTCTACACATGACCCCCCAAAAGGAACTACTATGGGGCCTACGGGTAGATACTATCAGGATTCCAGCAGCTGGTTCCCTCTTTAGCATGCGGTGCATTGCTCACCTCAGGGCTTTCGAAGTTTGTTGCAAACCTTGGTACGAACACAAGCATGATGCAAAAGTCCCTCAAACTATCAAGCATTTGTTTCACAGACCCTCTTGAGGCGAGTAACCCTGAGGGTCCATGTACCCATATAGAGATACATGGGCCCAAAAGTACCCATATAGGGACTACATTAATAGGCCAATGTATATACTATTTAGGTGCATGGACCCTTAGGGTAGTGGTTTTCGTATTCTGAAACTAAACTAGCACTCGTACTAGACTTACTACCTATAGTCTCCATGGTAGTTCCCTTCTTCTGCTTTGACCAACTTTATGTTAAGGATCCTAAAAGGTAACCCCAAAAAGGAGCTACAATGGAGACTATATTCTAAACCCTAAACTCCTTTACAAGGAACCCTAAACCCCTGTAAAGGAACCCTAAACCCCTTTAAAGGAACCCTGAACCCCTTTAATTAAAGGAACTACAATGGAGACTATTACTATAGGTAGACCTGCTAGTCGATGTGTTGTTGCCAGTGTCTTGGAGTGTCTATAGTAACCCAAAGGCTCCATGTACCTTTATAGGAACCCTTACAGATCCCTTTAAAGGAACCCTTATAGATCCCTTTAAAGGAACCTTGTATTCATTATTTAGGATCCATGTACCACTATAGTAGATCCTTAAAGCCTTAAAGAGGTCCCTATATAGGCACTTTAAGGCCTAAGTACCTACTATATGGGCACATGGAGCCTTGGGGTAGGTAGAAGCCAGATAGTGGGTGTAATGGAGGGTAGTAGATGGAGGGTCCAGGTTAAAGGAACCCTAAACCCTTATAGTAGAAGCCAGAAAGTTGGAACATCATTATCCTACTCATGTCCTTAAGGTAAAGTGCAAGGGATCCTAGCACTACTGGGTTGGCCTTTAAACACCCTGAAAAATATTTATATGTAGGGCCCCTTATAAACCCATATAAGGAAAATAAAAAATGTCCCCAAATCCAACCTAGACTAATCCTCCCAAATCCATGTTCCAACTTTCTGGCTTCTACCGTAGGACTCGAGGCCTCCTGAGAACCGCGAGGGCCCGCAGCGGCGCCACGGCTGCATGGCAAAGGCCGTGGCCGAAGTGGAGGGCCTCAAGGGAGGCTTGTCTTCTTGAAAGCAACAGTTTAGGGTTTAGGGTTTAGGGGTTTAGGGTTGTTTTCTTGAAAGCAACATGGTCGTCTTTTGTGCTTAGGGCTTGTGTTTTGACATCTTTAATTTGAAAAGGGCTTAGAGTCTGGAGCAGGGTTTGTGCAGAATTCTGACAGCGCCCTACAACATCTTAGTCGTTCAGCACACTTGTGACACCCTCCAAAAACTCTTGCTACGACACGACTTGGCAAGACCCTCAACAATCTTGCAGGCCTCTGACTTATAGGCAAACCATCGAGAAGTGCCAAAGACCTAAACACTAATTAGTCAAACTCCCAAGTTTCCAGTCCCTAAACCCCCAAACCCTAAAAGCACAACACTAACTCCGAAGCTGCTGTAGGGGCCTTAATAGTTAGAATAGGGTTTTGGGGCCCATTGTACTGTAAAGTCATAAAAAAGAGCCCCCAACATAGTATAGGAAATTATGGAGGCCCCTATATGTCACCCTACAACCATCCCAGGGTCCTCAGGTGGGGCGAAGCAAGAGCAATGAGCGCCGCCAACCACCAGGGTGCCGCTGTCCGTGAGTGGCGCAAAGCGTCCTTCAACTAGGCTACTATGGGGCTTTACTTTGAGAGAACCATCATGAGTTCGAGTGCTCTTTCAAATGATTTGGGATTTGTTGCTAGATTTGAAGGGGCTTAAAGCTTCAGGGTCTTGGGGTTAACCCGACAAAGCAATATGTACCCAAAAAGACATCAAACTCGACCACTACCTCAGAGTAGCTATAGCATACCCCCAAGACTTGGGATTGGGATGTCATAACCTACAGTTTCGCAGGGTCTGGGCTACAGGCACAAGTTGCCCTGCTGCACCAAGAGTCTCCAACAGAAGCAGAGCGGAGCCAAGTTGCGGTCCTATAGGTTAAAAGCCACGATCCTCTGTAGAAGACCACACCACTGAATGGCATGGCGAGTCGTGAAGAGCAATCTAGAATTCCAAAAACCAAGTTGGATTCTACAGGGGTACATATATCATGTAGGTTGTGCGAACTCCTCAAGGACGCTTCCAGAAACCCTCACCCGTAGGTCGCTAAGTATACAGACCTAAATGATAAGAACACGGTTAAGAATATAGTCCAGTGTGACTAAATCAGAAGAACCAAAGGCATAGTAGGTACTACTAGCCTTGCAGCCCCTTCCGCAAGGAATTGCCTAGCAGATTGCCGAATGCAGGATGTCGGCACTGCCTATCGTCTCCATTGTAGTTCCTTTTTTGGTTTAACCAATTTTATATTAAGGATCCTAAAAAGTAACCCAAAAGGGAACTACAATGGAGACTGTAGGTAAACCCTCAACCGCATTTGGGGACATCCGGATCGGCCCTGTGATTTCCGGGATTTAGATTCGGACGGCTCATCGACCGGGATCCAAAATCGTGATAATTAAAACCTCAAGGCCCAAATCCTGAAGCACGCCCTAGCCTACACTTAAGAACCAACAGAGCACATAAACATAAACTTCTCCGTTTTGTGATTGTAACTTACCCCCAAACCCAAGTCGAGCTATTCAGACTTCTTTGTTGCCTCGACTTGGACCATTTTTGTCACTGCCTGCCTTTGGCGCAGCACTTCGCTACTCGCAGAATGGCTGAGGGATGTCCTCGGAACGGGGAGATGGGGAAGGTTTTGGATTTGCCATTTCACAAAGGGCTCAGCGTTTAGGAGCGGCTAAGGGGAAAAGAGATGGGGAGGGTTTCCTATTTCAACAAAAGGTCATATGGGAGTTTCCGAAAATGAGGGGTACCTTATTTTGGGGCCCTTATAGTACGGATCCTACTATTTAGGGTGCTAGTATTAGGGTTCCCTATTTTGGAAACTCCCATATCAGCTAAGGAATATACTTCAAATATGCGGCAAGGTACGCTGAGCAAGGGGGATTGTGCTCTGTGGGTCAGGGGTTCAGGGATTTCACGCTTATATGGGTTGACAGACCCCCAAACCCAGTCATTCCAAAATCCCTTAATTAAGGAATATACCTTAAATCATAATCGGGTCCCTAATGTGATTTAAGGTATATTCCTTAACTAAGGGATTTTGGAAGGTCTGGGGACCCCCAAAACCCTTAATGCAACCCTCGTCTCCTGCAGCGTTTTGGAGCAGGTCGCCACGCCTGCAGGAGCCACCGAGAAGGGACAAGCGCGGGCAGAAGCTTACCCAAATCATATAGACACGTCAATTTGTTAGTCGGGTTTGGGGTATATAATATATTATGCTTTTTGGGTGGTCTTGTAGTATTGCTACAAACAGAGACCCTAAGGTGATTGTTCAAGCCCATTTGTGTATGTGTATGTACAAAGATTTTGGGTAAATACGTATTCATACATGACTTGATGGCTCTCAAGGTAGAAGGATTTATCAGTGCATCTGCATTTTCGCAGGGTTCAAGGTTTTTGGCGTCCAAGTCACCAACTAGCATTAATTCCAAGTATTACATTCTGAACAGGTTGTGTCGCTAAAGCCCTGTGGAGCTACCTAGGGTGCTATGGGATATGCAGGGCTGCATAGAGCATCGTAACTGTTCTATAGAGGCCTTACGTTCATGGGCTTGGCAAACTGCCAATCTATATGAATATGTGTGTGTGTATATATATATATATATACATATCTATCTATACATATTTATCTATATATATATATGTATATATATATATATATGCATATTATGTGTGCTTAAACTGAACAGCATATGCTGCATCATGTGCAGGATCCCTATACAGATAAGGAATCAACGGTATAATTGCGGATTTTGGGCTCTCTGGGTAGGGTTCCGGCCGAAACCCCTAAACCCTAAGGCCCTTTGAAGGAACCCTGTGGAAAGACCTCAAAGGAACCCTCGGGTAGGGCCTTGGCTTAAACCCTAAATCCCTCTGTAGAACCGCCGGAAAGGAACCCTTAAGAGACACCTAAGGGAACCTTAAAGGAAACCCTTCTTGTTAAGAGCCTTGTTCCCAAACAAATGTAGGAACCTGATTAAGAAACCCTGGGCCTTTTTTAGGCTTCCTGATATGAACCCTACTATTTTGTGGTTGTAGGCCCAGGGTTTCTTAATCAGGCTCCTTCCTGCGGGACGCTCAAGGACCTGCCTCAAGGTCTTGGCCCTCACCTCGGCAGGGCGCATGGCGGACCAAATTCCGGTGGGCTTCAATTTAGGTCAAGTTTGTTTTGTTTTTGTTTTTTAAAGGCTCTTTTTCGAACTGCAGGGTGCTCTTCGAAAGTCCCTTTAGGCGAGCTATCCGGTGTCACGGCTAGACACCAAACTTGACTCTTCGGCAAAGCTCAGGACCGATCCCTCCCACCGTTCACCAGGTCCCCTTCAAGCAACCCCAGACCTTCCAAAATCCCTTAATTAAGGAATATACCTTAAATCATATTAGGGACACTATTATAATTTAAGGTATATTCCTTAATTAAGGGGTTTTGGAAGGTCTGGGACCATCACCCGTCTTGAATCTTTTGGTCAAGGGTTTAGGGTTTAGGGCCTACAGGGTTTAGGACCATACTTCCGGGGGGGCCTTCGAAGTGGGTCTGGGGCCGTACGAGGGGCTTTCTGATGTGTTGAATAGTGTTCGAATGTGGGCCTGACTCTACATAAGACTCCAAGCACACAAGTCGTACGTACTTGGGCCCTGGGCGTCTAGCGCCTGTAAAAGCCCTGTCTTTCGAAAGCGCCGAACTCTGCCGAGGAAAGACTGGAATTTGGCAGGATGGCTCCCAGCACATGTGTGCACAGGAAGCGAATGATTTGCTAGTATGTATACTCGATATACATCGATATGTACATTTTATAGACCGACCGGCTTCTACACGCCTTCCGTTGCCGGTTGGGGTTGCAAGATCATCCACAAATCCATTAGGATGTCGTAAATTTCCTGCCTGCTTATGTCGTTCCGCTGCAATGCATTCCTCAAGATCTTTGCCTTGCACTGAGATGTGATGTAGTTGCCTAGCAAAATACTTCTCAAGCTAGTTCAGTCATCGGTGATACAACTCCGAGGTCGCACTGGTATGGCTTCTGATTCCCGTGATGAAGAGATCTCTGGATTTCAGCTGGCAGCTGAGAGTTTGACACATCCAGTTTAAATCGAGGTGGTCATTAGATATCCTCCGATTCGGGTTTTTGATGGTACTTTTGTTCGGTGTCCAGAGACGAAGCTGAAGGCTGCATGGGCTATATGTCGGACTTGCACGAGGAGGACTTCGAAATGCCAACAGACGGTGCTCCAACCCGGCTGTGCTTTGCTCTGCTTTGTCGCTCCAATCGGAACATGCATGCATGATGTTGAAAACCTCCCTGCTGCATGCAGCTTTTCCAGTGATTCTGGTCATGGGGGCTCACGATCACGAGCGGAGCTTAATACTAATCGACTTCTAGAGTTTGTAGGTTCCCGGGGAAAGCCCCACCAGCAAGCTGGCGGCTAGAAACTAGCAAGCAGCACGGAGCCGGCTTTTTTCCGCAATGGATGTTGTTCCCAAGTGGAACTTCACGGATGCTGGTGTCCGGAAGGACCGAGTGAGTCACGAGCGCCTCCGCCTGTTGCAGGTGCCACAACCAATTGAAAAAGCAAGCAGCCAATCCCGGAATACAGTCTATCCGCTTCGATCCAGGCTTTCTACACGGAGAAGTTCCAGGACAAGGAGCAGGTGAATGAAAGGAAGAAGGAGATACGCAAGCAGCTCAACATGAACAAGGACGATAGTCGTGCTGCTTGTTTGCCTTAAATAGGACTGAGTCCGTTCTTAGCATGACCAGTTCTTCATTCGCCCAGGTTCCCAAGTTTTCCTGCGTCTACCTGCCGAAGCACAGAGTTGGTGAGTACGAAGCTGCATGACAGCATTTCAGGGCACCCTGCATTATGTGTCAAGCTTGTACTACCATTGGGGCCCAGGTAGAGAACCTTTGCAACTACGACTTCCTTGTGGGGTTTTTGGCCGTATTTGCAGCCGATCTTCCCACCCAGGGGGAAATGATGGTTCTCCTGGCTTCAATTGCTTGCTTGATTATCTTGATACGGATTTTGCTTGGACTGTATCGATATCGGTTACATAACATCACCTTGCTTTGCCAGCTGGTGCTGGCTTGGGCCTCCGAGAACTTCAAGCTGAACAAGTTCAGCAAGGCCCGCGAGCACATTGTTCCTCGGATCGAATTGCTTGTGATCGTCGCACGGATGCAGGGCATTCTATATCATCTAGAGTGCAAGGCTTGGGCACGAGTCGAAGCCGGGATACAGCGAAGCCTGGCCTGCTATGTACTGATGCGATTTGGAAGAACTGAATCATGCAGGCAAGCGGATGCCGTGCTTGGGATGCTGTTTCTACACTAGCTAGGCAGGGAATTAGTCTCAAATTTCAGGTCTGGCCACGACAGGATGCAGACCCTCAAAGAGGTGGTGCACGCGGTGCTCCAGGCTTGCCAACAATTCATTGAATGATACCACAATAAGACTAAAGTAAATTTATATATCTGAATTAAACTATAATATGTAGTATATCGACGCTGAGATAACAAGAGTAACATCGGAATATTGTTCAACATGAACATGAGCTCGGGCATAGTACAGTAGTACTTTCAAACATGAAAACCTACCTCGATCCCAACAACCCCGGATGACGTTTTAAGGCATCGTAATTTGTATAATGCAGCTTTTGACACACTGAGCACTCTACGTATTGCAGGTTTCACTATTCTATCCCTATGGCAGGATGCCGGCCTGATCGACGACAAAGGCAAAAAAATCAAGACGAAGCAGAAGAAGACCAAGAATGCCGAGGCTCGCGATCCATCCTGCCCCGGTGGCAAGAGTACAAACTCTAATATTCTGCTTAGATAATGCATGACTCGGTTATTGTGCAAAGGTTGTGGTATGTTTGTAAATGTGTATGCACATGGTTGTTATGTAAGACATGCATGAGTTAACCTGTGTTGAATAACTCGGTCTATACTTTCGCTATCATAATTTATAAGCTTTATCTGTTAACATGCACATAACATATTTACATTAGGTGTGTAAAATCACGCAATTAATGTTATCATCTTTCAGTATACATCATAATGCATTGTACAATGAGGATTACATATCGAATTACTTCTCCGGAAGGTCCGGACGAAGAACAATCCCGATGAGATGGAAACCCAAGTTGAGGGCGGACCACCGCCCTCAGAGCATTGTGGAGGTGAAGAGAATGGGGAGGAGGAAAAGGAGACGGATGATGAGGAGGTGCTTCTGCACCACGGGGACGACCCTTTCTGCAAGGAGGAGAGCATGCAGGAGGAAGGTGGAGAAGAGGAAGAGAAGGAAGCGGACCCTCTGGTTGATCCGGAACCCGCTGAGGACGACGATGCGAAGGATAAGGGTGAAAACGATGACTATGTAGGAGACGAAAAGACACGGAAGAGCAAAGAAGGAGGTGCCATGAAGGAGACCGGGTCACTTCGATTGGGGGTTGCAAGCATCATGATCAGGGAAGGTTGCTCCGTGTTGTTCCGTGCTTCGACAGCCGTAGCTCGCTGAGAGTCGGTTCATATCATAATACATGTTGTTGGTCAGGACCGAAGCCCGATCGGCAGGCTTCCCAACGTGCCAGCGAAGCTGGCAGCCAAGGGTGCACTGAAGAGAAAAGTCACGAAGGAGATCAAAGATGAAGATCTTCTGGAGGCAGCCTTTCAATTTGAACATGACATGAATCATGAAGCCATGCCTAGAATGTTCTGTTGTGGTCTTGGCAGGCCCAGCAGAAAATGCTCAAAAGGGCTGAGAAAGAAGCTGATGAGGATCCGGACCGAGCAGCTCGCGAGGACCAAGAAAAGGAGGAGGCGGTCAAGGCCGCACGCGGAAAGAAGCCCAAAACGAAGGCCAAGGCAAAAGCAAAAGAAGAGGCAAAACCAAAAGGCAAGGCAAAAGCAAAAGGCAAGGCAAAAGCAAAAGGACAGGCAAAAGAAAAGGCAAAAGCAAAAGAAAAGGCAAAAGCCAAGGCGGTTAAGCAGGAGGATGAGGAGGAAGAGGCCGAAAGAGAGGACCGGGGAGAGGATCGACACGACGGCTCGCATCCGAAAAAGAAGAAGAAAAGGACTAAGGCTCAGGCGGCTAAGGGTGTTCGGCGGCAGCTGTCATACGCTGACGCCGATGAAGAGGATGCAAAGGAGAAGACCCCAAAAAAGAAGCCGGTTTTGAAGCGACCGGCTGCCCGCAAGACTGAGGAGCAGGGCCTTTCCACGGACGTCGAGGCCTGGATCCGAGTATGATGTGGGGTTGCCACTGCATAGTAATATTGGGGCATGCTGGCCTGTGGTGGTGGTACTGTTATGAATCGGTTTCTGAGCTCATGCACACACGCACGCACAGCATAGATTGTGCAATATGCTGTGCAATTGCAAACATGAACACACTTTGATAGTGGACCGAACGATGTGTCATTGTAACTTTGATAACCACACCCATAACAACACGTTGTGCGACTTGGAGAATTAATGGCACATATATATATATATATATATACACAGCTTGTGCAATATTTGCAATGCATGTTAATTATGGTACATGTGAACTTCATGAATACAGTGTGCTGGGAGTAGCATGGATCCACGCACATGAACTGATCTTTTGCTTCTTGTGTATATAGTCTGGTAGCATGTGTGCATGCATGTATCTATATATATATATATATATATACATATCTATGTCTACTAGACTTATTGCTTCGCCCGGGCGGTGCAACGTGCATGTACACATGTGTCTATACTGCTTTCCACATGCATGCATGCATGCATCGACAGTTCCATAGCAAGAAAACCGCAGGCCAATCGCAACATGGTTCGCCGCCTCGCCTTCAACACGCGATCCGTCTTGCAGTTCATCCTGCCGGAGAATCTCAGTATCGCCAAGCAGCTTACCTCAGATTCAGTAGGGGAACTGGTGATTGATGAGTGGGCCGAATATGATTCCCAAGATCATGCTGGTTTGAGATTTCAGGTCCTTTGTTAATACGTGCCCGAAGTACTTGCGGGACAAGATGGACAAGAAGACCAAGCCTCCGAGTGTGCAGGTACTGCCTAAACCTTAGACAAGCTGATGCACCTGATAAGCCGAGATTGTTCATGAACGATTGACACTCGTGGTGCAACAAGGTTGAGTTCAGGGGCATTCTATGTTTGCCCAACCAATCCGGACATCATGGATGAAGTGAATCAACTCTTGGATGTGGATTTGAAAGTGGCCCGTCTGATGATGTGTGCAGTTGCCATTTCCGGTTTAGTCATCCCAAAAGAAGCCCCAACCTCCTGGACCCAGGCCAACAATGCATACGGAGTTCACATCAGCTGGTTGAAGCGAGGCGGAATTCTAAAGGCGCCGGCTTCTCAGGAACCTTGATCTGAAACTCTGAAACGTTTTACTTCTCATGCTGTCGGATTCTTTCTACTCAATATAATCAGGTGGTACCTTGCCCACTGTGTGGCCGGGTGGACCGAAGCAACCCAGGATGAGTGGCAGGACCCTTCTTTCAGTTCATGTCTGTCCGGACAGCATCCTGTCATGTTCTCGCCAGTTGCTCGTGGTACAGGCTACAGAAATGAGTGCTTAGATACGGATATCCCAACCCCGATTTAAAACTGAATCCTTCAAGCCCCGGCCAGGCGATGATGTGACGAGATGCACGCTGCAGCTCGGGAATCATTGATCTGTTCTGGGGATAGAGACGATGGATGCTGGATGCTAGGGGTTCCGAGGGGGGATGTTTTGGGGATCTCGACACGCTAGACATTGCAAGTTCGCTACCGGCTGTTGCCAAAACTGCATCCACTAGTGCTGCTGTTACTTCTTGTAATCCTGTGTGCTTCCCTGATTTTTTGTGCTACTACTACTACTACTACTACTACTACTACTACTACTACTACTACTACTACTGCTACTGCTACTGCTACTGCTACTTCTACTGCTACTGCTACTTCTACTAGACTTACTCTGACGACGACGGCTACTACTTGATTGATTCGGAGAGCTATAGAGGTCTTTGCACTAGTACTAGTACCAGAATTACCACTGCTACTTCGTTGTGGTACATACATATTACATACATATATATACATGTGTATATATATATATATATATAGTAGTAGCAACAAATGTAAACCCTATATGGTTATACTACCATTACTACGACCTCGACTACTACTATGCTACGTTCTTAACTCTACATCTGCCTGGTACCCCAAGCTTTCATGATTCGAAACTGCTATTGAGGTCTACGAGGAGCGACGAGCTTCACGGTGGGTTCGATCCACGATGTCGAGGCCTGCTTTTTATTCTCGCTCGGGGTCCGGGTGTGGCCTTTTGGGTCTAGAAATTAGAACTGATATAGTTGGTCTTTCTACATAATTAAGATGTCCCAGGCAGGCTGTTGAGTTCTGGGACCTCCGTGTGCAATTGCCATTACGATGAAGACTAGTGAAACCTGTGCCGAACCAAAGGATCCAACAATGACAACAGCCCTAAAGTTCCAAATCTGTCGTCAACATATTACTAGGGACTCCGGAGCTCTCACGTCTTTCACAAGCTCGAAAGCACTGCCAATCCCGTTCGCCCAACAACCCCTAAACCCCAAACCTTGAACCCGAACACCCACACCCAAAACCAAGCGGCCTACCCTGGAACTTTAACCTTGGATCCACTCATATAAGCCCAGAACCCAGAATCCTAAACTTCAGTCAACGTGCACCTTAATCCTCCATTGCAAGGCCACTGCCGCTGCAGATCCGCATGCCTCCTTCCATGGAACACTGCAACGGATCATAGTTGCGGGTGTTGGGCCGATCTAGATTAATAGCCGGGCCGTTCAGTTGGTTGAAGTGATAGGTCACATTTGTTTTGATCAGCAGCGATAAGTTCGGAGCCAGACCTGGATTCGCAGCACGCTGACCGATGGGACTGCAAAATCGACGGTGTTCGTGCGTGCATTACTTACCGTGTTTGGTCGCTGTGAAGGAATTGAAGTTGTTCGTGGAGCTTGCCAGGCTGTTGTGCACAGGGTGCAGAATCCCCAATCTAAAACTCCCGGAACCCAGGCTTAGATCTAGGACGCCATATATAAAAAACCCTCAGTCTCAAGCCCTGCACAACCTTTGCACTACAAGGCTTTCACATGGTACCGGACTCTACCTGGAAGAGCAGGTATACCTGCTCTTCCAGGTAGAGTATTCGATATTATATATATATATATATATTATATACAGCCATGACTTCGGCCGGCTCCCCTTTGGCCTTGACCGACGAGCAACGTGATCTCTTGCTGTTTGTCGGGCTGCCACCACTTCTGTTCCTCGGATCGATCGATGCAAAAATGATATCTGTTGTTACCGGGGGGCGAGGGGTGTGAACTTTGTAAGGCTTCACGCCCTGGATTACGTGCCACAAGTGACACCGTCTGCCTTCCAAAGGGAGCCTTGGATTACTGGTCCAGCACATCAACTATTGCATCCTTCGCTGCCGCCTAGGACCTGGATGCCGTGCACTTGTTTGCCAGCCCGAAGCATGTTTATGAAGAGTCTTGCTCCTTGGACAAGCATATAATGCTCGACTTGCCAGATTCGGATCGCTGAGCACAGAATATATTCTAGTGGGGGCTTACGTGTGACACCGACAGTTTGCGACCGAACCGGAACCCCCAAAGCTTGACCTCTTTAACTTTAACGGGAGACCCTCTCAATCTAGACTGGGGCCCAAGTGTTACGGTGATACCGAACGCATGTGTGTGCACATTTAAGAACTAGATTGGTCCTCTGAGTCGTTTGAGAAAGAAATAGAGCCGAATTGTGAATAGCTGGGTTTCGGGCCTAGGGTTTGGGGGTTCGGTCTATCGGGTATAATGGAGACCTGGAGCCTCGGAGATTGTTCGGGGTGCTTGCCAAGTCCCGGCACAGCCCAGGTCTGATCGCCGACCATGTCGCCCAGCAGCTGGGCCAAAATTCCTTGCACGGGATTGGACATGTGGAGGCTTTGCTCTGCACATATGGTCCAGGCAAGTTTTCGGGGTTCGTTACAACCCAAGGAGTCGTGAATGTTTCGATATTCTTCAACGAACTGACCGCGACGCAGACCTGAGTACTGTGTCCTTTGCTTGCATCGGATCAGCAAACAAAGTGTTCCAGAGCTAGATCGAGGATTGTTACACTTGCCTAGGCCTGGATTCTTCAAATGTCTACAGATGCTTCTTCGGGTTCGACAAGATGGGATCGTCTGCTGCCCCTACGCTTGCTTCGTGATTTCTGCGATGGCGACATCCAGCAAGCAGGATGTCCGGTTCTGCCAGATGAACCATGCCCTAAATAGGGTTTCGTGCATTCCATTGATTCCACTGTCGAGTGTTCTAGCCGATCCAAGAATTGGGAAATGCTGTCTCGCCTCAGGCTCTCGAGCAGATTGGCAATGCTATTGGTGTTGTCGACGGCCAGGCTTGTGTATATACCCCTGGAATCCTTCAAAGATCAATCCGACGCTGGTGCGATGCAAAGTGTGAATTGCTATCTGCCATATTACTTTTAAAAACAGCTACTAGCTTGCAGTTTGGTCATTTAACCTAATATAAAGCAGCTGTACGTGTGCTTGTGCCCGCACTGACTGAGGTGGAGGGAGACCTGCAGCATTAACATCATCGCCCCTGGAGACGACCATTGAGAATCTGATTGGGCGGCCCAAGAAAAGGCCAAAGCTGCTCTGCCGCAAACTCATCATGTTACCGCAACACACTCTTGACATTTCTTTCATGTGCATCCACCTTAGGACCAACCCCTCGATGAAACCGACTGGGTCTCTATCCGTCGGCCAACTTCGACACGCCGTCTACTGCACGGAGGAGTGCTTGTGGTTTAAAGTGCTCAAGGAGGTTGGGATTCGGACCGCCTTATGAATCGATTGATCTGCAGACGCCGTCCTTCTTCACTGGCTAATGAAGTCGTTCAGTGCACTTGCAGGTCCCGTGTTTGAGCTGCAAAATATGGCGAGACGCCGATCTCAAGCCGCTCAGACAGTTTCTGCTTGCTGAGATGCAAGCAGAACGCTTCGCACCGGTGAGCTTGGTGTTTTTTCTTAAGACTACGCAGCTGGACTATGAGGAATCTACTTAGTTGACTCTGCATCTGATCTACGGAGATAGTATTTAAGTATCATGCTGCATCATGATCGTTGTCAAAACCTGCCGTCAAGCTGCAGAGACAGCGTTTCTGGACGCTGCCACAGTCAGCTCGCCTTCAGGATCTGATGAGCTTTTGAAGGGGATGGAGATAAAGAAACTTCGGGTTTCTAGCTTCAATAGTAGTATAAACTAGATATGCTAGTACGAAGTTTCGGCTTGTCTGCAGCAGAATCAATCGGCTGTCTGATTTGTCAAGCAGGACACAGGTCTATAGAGCAAAGTATGTATTTTAGCAGATTTCGAACATATGATATATATATATATATATATATATATATAATATACACGTATATATATATATACATATACACTTATATCTATATATATATATATGAGAATATAACTTGGTGCTCTGTGCCTCTGGATCTGTGCAGTGAGGACGTCATAGTGTTTGTGTGTGTGTGTGTGGAATCTAGTTGCACAGCACGATGCAATGCAAGATACCCCTTTTGATGTTGTATGCTTTTATATCAGATCAATAGTATATGTATTTACATTACATTTATACATATACATATATTTATATATATATATATATATATTTATGCATATTCGTATTAATATAAGATGTACATTCATATAATACGATATGATTACTCATATATTTATTGCATAATATATATATATATATATGCAATACTAACATGTACATATTCTACTTTAATGACGAATAAAGGTGTTATCATAAATATCTATCTATATGAATAGTAAAGTACGGCTGATATTGTCATTGTTGTTGCTGGTAATGTAGTAGTATATCGTGCACGGGTTCAAGTTCGGATTCAGGCTCTTCTAG